CCCAGGGGCTTGCACAAGGAGACAACAGTGGTGTCTTCTTCCTCTTGGCCCTGCAGACTCTGGCCAAATGGCCTCGCTTGTCACAGGACCAGCAAATGATGTCCTTCGCCCAGTATCAATCCAGCTTGTGATCTCCGCCGCATCCGGCACAGGTTTGCCGTGGCGCACTTTTCACTTGGGTCTGCCTGGGCCTCAGAGTACAAGAATGGTTGACGTCATCATGCTCACCATTGGACTCGCTCGTTGATTCGTGGTGTACGGATTTGTTGGCCCCCTGTTGGATTGGGACCAGGTTTTGACGCACTTCTTGGGTTGCCTTCTCAGCAGCCTCAGCGGCAACAGCCTCTGAGTAGGCCACAACATAGGTGAGAGCTGTTCGAGCGAACAATCATTGCTGTAGCTTCTCGTCCTTCATGCCACAGACGAGTATGTCGAGGAGCACTTCCTCGAGGTTGGTGAAGTTACACGGGCGTGCAACCTTCCTCAAGGCCAATACGTACTCAGCAACTGTCTCGTTCGCGGCCTGGGACCGCTCGTAGAACACGTGCTGGCTAGCGATCTGCGATGGTTGCGGTGTGAAATGCCCATGGAGTTTCAACTTGAGTTCAGCCAGGGACACCGTTTTGATTTCAGCTGGGGCGACCAGGGACCGAGCGACGTCAAAAACAGCCCTCCCACAGGAGCCGAGGAGCATCACCTTCTGCTGGTCCTCACCCTCGATCTGGTTAGCCTAGAGGTGGAACTCGAACCTGGTCAGGTAGGAATCCCAGTCCTCGAGGTTGGGTTTGAATGCCTTGAGCCATGGGTTGACGGCCATCACTGCTCTTTGTGCCGGCACTGGCACAGGTGCTGCAGCTGCTTGATCAGCTGGGTCTATTTGCTTGGAGTGATGTTCTTTAGCAGCTCCTATTCAACTCAACAGTGCTTGTACAGGAAAATACCTTGGGGGTTTTTACCTCAAATTAACAAGCATTAAATTGATATCTCATCCTCATCGCCAATTGTTAGATACGAGACTCGAGGCAGCAGGTGAACAGTGATAACAGCTTTATTGAACACGAAGTCAGAAGAACCAGAACGAGACAAACAATGGAGCAACAGGCTCCTTTTTAAACAGTCCTTTTTAAACAGCCATGCCTACATGTCAGATAAGATCCAATCAAATGCAGTACATAAAGACCAATCACTTTGCTTCCCTCCAGAACTTCCCTTGTTCTGATAGGTCGGTTTACAATACCTTGGTCAGACTCAAGCTCAATACCTTCATACATTCTATTTCATACACAACAATATCATATATGGTTTGTAAATGTCCAGTAATAAGGTAATTAAAACAGTGTTACTCAGTGGCTTGAGATCCATGCCTGCCTCTTTGATATGCCACATGTGGCTCTTCTGTGCACAGTTCCCTAATCTGGCTCCTGCCTCATGTTTCAGGAAGGTGGGCTTGCCTAGCAGGGCTTGCAGTTGAAATAGCCACCACTGGAGGAACAGCTAGACTGTGCGCTTCCTTGAGGTGCAGGCCTCATGCCAAGGATGGAAGTAAATGCGGCTCTTTTGTTTGATGGTAACTGGGAAATGTTGCTGTCTGTGTATTACAGACTGAGTACAAGTTGGGCAACTGTGTTTGTCTGAAGTAGTCGAACAAAGTTTGAGTCCAGTGTGGCACCTTTAAAACCAACAAAGTACCACTCAAGGATGCCGGTCATAGTAAAATACAGTTTAGTTTGTATTTCTGGCCAAAGACTCAGTGGTTGCAACTGATGATTCATCCATTTTCCTGTTCATATTTTTTCTTCAGGTTTGCCCTTTATTTCCTTTACACTCCCATCTAACCTCTGTGCACCAGAATCCCTACACAGGACTTTGCCTTTCAGACCGGTCCTTTTAAAGGCCACCCTAGAAAATAATCAGAGAGCCAGTTCTGTGTAGTGGTTAAGAGTGGCAGGATTACAATCTGGAGAACTGTGTTCAGTTCCCCCACCCCCCCCCCGAAGCCAGCTGGGTGACCTTGGGTCAGTCACAGCTCTCAGAGCTCTCTCAGCCGACCAATAAGTCTAGCATGCCACACTAGTGGTACATAATGCTAAAAGAGTTAGAACTTTGGCTGCCAGACAATCCGTGGCTCTCCTGGCTATACAACACATACTGCCATACGATAATTAATTAGGACAGATTCAGGTGGGGTAGCCGTGTTGGTCTGAAGCAGCAGAACAAAGTTTTAGTTCAGTGGCACCCTGAACACCAACAAGAGTTTTATTCACAATATAAGCTTTCATGTGCACACATGTGCACACATCTGAGAAATAAGGCTTTGTTGGTCTTAAAGGTTCCACCGGACTCAAACTCTGTTCCAATTAATTAGTTAATAATCAACTATATTTACCATTGTTCATGTGGACCAATGCTAAAATGAGTTGGAAGGGAACGCAGGAAGCTTTGGAAAGGAAGCACACTATATCATTGAGAATTATGGATTTATTTACATTATTTGTGGTCCACCTTTCACTTGGACTCAAGGTGGATTACACAGAGTGAGTCAATGCAATCAACAGATGGGACATTCAGTAATGCAATAGGATTAGGATTGCAGAACCAACCAGAAGTCTAAAAACAAAACTGGAGCAAAGCATAACAATTAACGCGACACATTAAATGATGCACAATTCCCGAGAAAAATGACAAGAGCCCCCTAATTTGTGTTGTTCTTGAAAAATGACAATGGTGCACAGGTATAGGTGGAAAAAACCCACAAATACACCTGCAAATGTGCTGATTTTACAGTATTCAGCAGGGAACATGAGAATACGAATCTGGTAAGCAAAAGAAAGGTAGGGCCAGGGGTCATTTCCTGCAGGAGCGCACAGGAGCGGAGCTCCGGCAGTAAAGAGCCCAGGGGGTGGGCACATGCAACAAGCCCCACCCCCTGCTCGCAGCAGCCCTCAGTCAGAGCAAGAAGTAGCCAGGTAAGTTGCAGAGCCCACCCCCCAGCTCCCCGGTCCAAAACAGTCCAGTGGCACCTTTAAGACCAAGTTTTATTCAGGTACAAGCTCTCCCTCCTCTGCAAGAACAGATCTGCACATCCCCCCCCCCCAATAGCTAGCAATCCAAAACAGTCCAGTGGAGTGTTGCCTTCAGACACACTTCCGGTGATGTCAGGGGGTGTAGCATATGCAAACAGGTTATGCTAATGAGCTTCTGCACCTCTTTTTCTACAAAATGACCCCTGGGTAGGGCTATCAACTTTGTTTTTTCAAAATCCTGTATGTTACAAGAATGTTTTGCACAGCAGGACAAACATCAGGTTCAAGAAACATTTTATTTGGAAAATGGCATGATGGGCATAATTAAACACATTCACTCCAAAGTGCTGACTTCAGTCTTTTTTTAAAAAGCTCAAGGAAAATGTGAATTGTGGCTTTTTTTTTGTTCTCTGGTGTGATGGAGAGCAGTTATTAAAAAATAACTTCTTCCTTTTCCTCAAAATAGAATGCCAGCCACCCTGCAGTGGTCCTATGTAATGAAGGAGAGGGAAAGGAAAAGCTGGAGTGGATGAAGCCAGGGCAAGGTATAGAGAGGCAGACCCTCTGCCAATTCAGAATGGGAGCAGAGAGGTCATGACTGCTGTCCATGCTGGGTAGCCTTTCCAGGCAGTGTGGTGAAGCGAGTGGCTCTCTGCAGTATGGACTGTCATCACACAGGCAATTGTGTCCTGGAAACAAAAGAGAAGGTGCTAAGAGATAAGAAGGTGTAAACGGAGCAACCAGGGTATAAGTTGTTATTTGCCCTAACCTGGACCGCCCAGGCTAACCCAGTCTGAGCTGAGCAGGAACAGCCTTGGTTAGTGGTTGGATGGGAGACCACGAAGGAACTGATGTTGGTCATCTGGAGATAAATTGTAATCATGGGAGATCTCCAGATGCCACCTGTGGGATGGTAACCCCAATGCTGAGACTAGTGACAAAGTGGGGTGGTGGTGGAATTCCCCTTTGTGAATATTGCGGGCCCACTCATGACCCCCGCACAGTCTAAAGTGGTTCAGCCAAATCTGCCATTTTGGAATTCCGCCACCTCATTTGGCCGCATGTATTGACCAAGCTGCATTAAGAATAGTTGATTCAGATATGCCAGGAAGTAACTAACAGAATCAAAAACTGCTTTAAAAAACAGAGGCAATTAAGATTTTCAAGTAATGTTTGATTCTTCAGGGTGCTGAATTAGTTACTTCCTGTTCACCTATGGTGTTCTGCGGCATTTGAATCTATTCCTAATCAGTTCCTTTCCCTGAGGGTGAAATGAAGAGTTTTAATTACTACATTTCTCTTGATTGCCAGGATTGCTTATTAGTGCTTTTATTTTTCATGCTCTAATATTGTTAACTACATTATTATGATCATTAAAAAATAATGAACAATCAAATTTGCAGCTGGAAGCAGGAGGAATTAAAGCCTCATCCCTCTCTGCCCAGGTAAAGGATCCATCCAGGCATGCCGGGGCACTGGCAGGAAAAACTAGAACTTTTTTGGAGGGGGGGGGAATCCAATGCAAATTTTAAATGGATGTCTTCATAGTGCATTATCTACCAAGGGTGTCTGGCCCTGCAATTCGTTTTAGCTGGGGGGGAAATGGCCACAAATCAGCCTGAAAAAGACCACCATAAAGAAAAAACAAAAGGCTTAAAAATGGAGTGCACCACAACATTGTTTGGATCATCTGTAAAAAAAAAAAAGTCTGAACAAATCATGATAATTACAGTTAAATGGTCAAAATGGAACCAATCAAAGTGTATGTTTTAGGTCCACTGTGTCAGGAACCAAAAACGTCTCCTCTGATCCTAAATCATGCTTGCTCATAGAATCCTTGGGGAAAGACAATCTGTTCTGATGAAAGAATGTTGTCCTTCAACAAGCACCTTGGTTTATATAATGGAAGGTGGTGAATAAATAACAAAACTAGATTTATTTTCTGATTGGCTTCCCACTACTGGACTTCTCTTACAGACGGATGTTCCCCGTTTTAAAGATTAGTGTTTCGGGCTTGGATCCGAATGCCATGTATTCTTTCCTGCTGGACTTCGCTCCAACGGACAGCCACCGCTGGAAGTATGTGAATGGAGAATGGGTGCCGGCTGGGAAGCCAGAGCCATCGAACCACAGCTGTGTCTACATCCACCCAGACTCTCCAAACTTTGGAGCCCACTGGATGAAAGCCCCTGTATCTTTTAGCAAAGTGAAACTTACCAACAAGCTGAATGGGAATGGGCCGGTAAGGCGCCAATGCTTTGAATATGCCTGCTGGCTTCAGTCACAGGCTTCTACCAATCAAGAAATATCAAGGGTGCATTTAGGCAATTAGAGGGGCCCTTAGAGGCCTCTTCACCCACAGATGCCAATTATTCCTTGGAGTCCAAATGTAAACAGGAATAAACAGGTCTTAATTGGAGCTTTCAGATTTTAATGGACTCCTTGATGTTAAGAGAGACTGAGTGCACTGTGGTTTAACCATCAGGGAGAGTTCCCCCCCACATAGCTTGCCTTGTGTGTTGAGGTTTTTACACAGGACTTCAGAGGAGGAGGAAATGATTGTGGGTATTAAGGTTTTGTTTTCTCCCCCATGGCGTTTGGTACGTAAGTAGAATGTTGGCAGTCATCGGGCACTAGAATAAAAGGCTGCTCCTAAATGAAATAATTACCATGCTTGCGTCTGCTTCATGGTAATTATCAATATTCTATTGAATCATCTTTGGCCTTTGGAATAATAATAAAAAGCATCTACCTGTACCAGAAAATAAGTGGCATTCTCTCTGAGACCCTTAAAAATGTGAAGAGGAAAGTTGGCTTTGTTGGGTAGCTTGTTTATTTCATATGGATCTTGGATGATAATGCCATGCATTATCTTTGGCTTGTTTGATACAAAACTCCACTAGTGGGATAAACCCATTGGCAAACCCATTAGCAAGCAAGGAATTAATTTTTCACCGATGTCTGATCTGAATTAGTTTTGTCTGTGGTCATTTCAAATATTATCTGTCCCCAAGTTAGATCATAATGAACATAGCCGCCCTGCAGAAGAAAAATAGGATAAGGGGAATTCTGTGTTGCTGGTTCAAAGTCTCACAGTGGTGGTGGCAGTGCTGGAAATGGAACCTAGACCTCCTGAGCACATGAAATTGCCTTATACTGAATCAGACCCTTGGTCCATCAAGATCAGTATTGTCTACTCAGAATGGCAGTGGCTCTCCAGGGTCTCAGTCAGAGGTCTTTCACATCACCTCCTACCTGATCTTTCAGCTGAAGTTACTGGGATTGAACCTGAGATCTTCTGCATGCCAAGCAGATGCTCTACCACTGAGCCACAGCCCAGCTGCCCTCTATGCCACAGCCTTGGACATTCTAAATACAGCCTTGGACATTCTAAATACAAGTCTGCTTGCTCATTGGGGAAAAGCTAGAGATTGGGATATACAATGACACTGATAATCAGTAACCCCTATTCTCTAAACGATTAATGATGGACAGCAAGTACAAATACATTTCTACTCCAAGATACAGTTATCTTGTATTCAGGGGAAGATGTAGCCATACAAGTTGAAGGGCTTGAAATTTTGTCTGTGATAGAACAGAACATAAAAATGCTTCACTGCCATGATGCTAGCCTTTTAAAAAACCGGACGTTAAGAGCTAACCATATTTCCTGGATAGGATTGCCATTTGCTGCCTGTAGCAGGTAAACCCCCACCCTCAGCCCCTATTGGCCACCCTCAAGAAAATGAGGGATGAGATTTTTCAAAAAGACTGGAAAATGTCTCCAGGGTGACATCCTAGGTATCTCAGTGTACCACAGATGAGGGGAAATTCCTAGAGCATCACCTGGAAGTGATATGACATTGTTCTCAAACTCCAACGCCCCCGGGCACTGCTCTCAAAATCTCCTGGCATTTGCTGAGGCAGTTCTGGCAGTCCTGGGGATCTGTATTCTGTGGTGAGATCTGTCAAAACGTTCTTTTGCATTAAAAAACAACAACACTGTTCAGTTTGGGTTGGTTCTATGGTGCAGAGATGGGAGTGGGGCTAACACTTCTCCCCAGTACAGTTTTTACATATAAAACATAAGAACACAAGAGAAGCCAATGTTGGATCAGGCCAATGGCCCATCCAGTCCAACACTCTGCCACACAGTGGCCAAAAATACCAGGTGCCATCAGGAGGTCCAGCAGTGGGGCC